CTTCTTTGGAAAATGACATGTATAGTAGGAGAATGAAGTAGGTATAGCCAAGATGGGGGAATAAAATGTCAAGTGTGGGCAGAACCAGTGGGAAAAAAATTGAAGTTTGATTAATAGATTTTAGGCCTGTAGAACATTTTCAGTATATTTAGAATTTAAAGTCTTTTATCTGTGCCACATAGCCAATTTTGGATACATGTGAAAGAATTTATAACCTGGGAGGTAGTATTTAGTCTTACGGAATCAGGGAACAGAAGAAGCAAAAGGGACATTAGAGATCGTAATCCAGTGACTTCATATTATAGAACAGTCATTGGAGCTAAATGAGCTAACCAAGATCATAAATATGTTGGTGGTTGTCTCAAGGACTATAAACCATGTAAACCAATAACAAAAGCAACCAACACGTCTTGTTTGATCAGAGCAGTGAATCCAACCACTTAAGAGTTACATCTGGGGAATATAGGCAGCTATTTCACCATAGGTACTAAGGGTGAATGAAGAAAATAAAATGGCTGCCTACTGAAGTAAGGGTGTGTGTGATAGCTAATGTTCAAACTGGACTTTGAGGAACTGAAGAGGGGAAGGGAAGTAAGATAAATGCCAGGAAATCTTCAGCCAATGTTTCTCAAAGTTTGTCCTGAAACTACATCAAAGTCTCCTGGGAAGCTTGTTAAATTGCAAATTCCTGGGTCTTATGCTAGAACTACAGGGTAAGTTCTCTGGGGGAAAAGCCAGGGAGTGTGCATTGAATAAACTGCCTGCCTGAGGTGATTCTGATACAGATTGTTTGGAGAGGACTTCAAGAAGTACTCTTCTAGATTAGTATCAGAGAAAATAAGGATGCCATAGCAGTAGTGTCCTATAAGCATAAGAAAAAGAAGGTACTCAGAATAAAGCACAATAATCATTCTACTGGAATAAGAGTCCAAGATATCTGCATTTTAGTTTCACAACCATCAACTGTAAAATTTGGGGTTAGTTGTTTAACTCTCACGGTCTCATTTTACTCACTTTGCAATGGAAGCTTTTGAAAGATTTTAAGCAGGGGAGTGACATGAATTATATTTGTTGCTGAAAAAATATAAATATTTGTGCTAAACAGATAAGAGAGTAGAACAAGAGCAGGCATGGCAGATCAGTTAATATGCTATTGAAATAGTCTAGGGAAAGATAATGATAGCTTAAAATATGTTGCTGACAGTAGAGTTGGAGAGTAGTGAATGGGTTTTGTTATTTATTTTGTTAGGATCAGTGATGGGTCGTATGTCAGCTCTGAAGGAGAGGGAGGTGTCAAGGATGACTCATGAGTTCCTGGCTTGTGATGAATGATTGACATTTTAAGGGGTATGAATGATTTGAGGGTTCAGGTGATTGAGCATGAGGTTCAGATCAGGTAGGTCAAGGCTAAAAGCCTACGAGGAAATGGGGACGTCAGATGACTTTGAAGTCTCTCAGAAGTCAAAGGGCAGATAGAGTAGAAGTAGGAGAACTGGGAGGATGGGAGACTGTGGCCAGAGAGTGGGGTCCTGGTGTATGTGATTTCTACGGTGGAGCGGTTCTGCGTGATGCCAAGGTCTGTGTTCGCCATGGGCACAGAGGACTCAAGTGGAATGGATGTGGGGGTCTGTGGAGCTGGAGAGGGCAACGAGCTAACAGGCCAGGATGCTAACTGGGCCTTTGAGCCTGGAGAGGACAACTGTGATTGGGGGCCAAAATCATCATCGCACTTAGGGTAGTGACCAAATTGTTAGATGAGAGTAGACAAAGACTAGCTGGATGGCAGGGACTTTAAAGGAACCGGAGCTTTTTATACGAGTGGCAGAGAAGTAACAGCTTAGAACCTGCACTGGGGAGCCTTTAAAGAAAATATCTTCCCCTTTGATATGTGAATTGTGGGAAAATGAACTCCTCCATTTTTGAGACTTGAAGTTGCAGTTTAAGGCAGGAGTTGTGGTATCAAACAAACAAGTTTTGCAAGCAAAACGAAGCCCAAATGTGATATCATTCTGTTTGGTTGGTGAGTTCTACGTTTTGGTTCCAGGTGTAGCACTTTAAATTTTTCACTATTAAAAATTTCATCTTTACGCATACAAAAATATTTTTGGAGGAAATGCTATGATGTCTGGGATGTGCTTCAACATAATATAGGATGGATGGGTGGGAGCTAAAAATGAAGCAAGATTTGGCATGTGTTGAGAATTGCTGAAGCCCAGTAATGGTGACATGGAAGTGCCTTGCACTGTTCTGTTTTGTGCAAGTTTGAATTTTTCTTTGATAAAAGTTAAATAAACCACTTCATCTTTATAGATCCAGCCTATCATTTTGACTTGCATTTTTTATATTCTCACTTTGTGAAGCTCTCTTATCCCCTCTCTGTGAGGTTCACAGGGATAACTATTTATCCCCATTTTACTGATAAACTTCTCAGATCCTGTTAAGGGATTTGTCCAAAGGTAAACATCTGCTAAGCGGCAGACTTAGGACCAGAACTCCATGTTCTTTTGACTTCTGGACCAGTATGTTCTACCACCTACTTGAGTGAGTTTTTAAGTTTCCATTAAGTGGTCGTCAAAATTTAGAGTAGTTATCTAGGGACTTTGATCTTGGAAACAGTCTTCATTTGGTTGCAGGTCTGACAAAGTGAGATTGCCTTTGCACATGCTATTTCTTTTGCATGGAATGTTTGTTCCCACCCCCTAGTTCACCAGGTTAACACCTGCGCATCTTTCAAAGCTCAGTTTCGTTTTTCCCACACACATACAGTCTCTGTTTCATTCCAACAATCATTCCCTCCTTTGCCTCGTACATAATGGCAACATCTAATATGGAGTTATTCAACAGCTCCCACCAACTAAAACCATTGATAGAGGCAATAGGCTAATGAAAAAACACGGGAGACAAAATAAATACCCTGGACTTGGCCAGTTTGTGTATCTGAGTGAGTACTTGGATGAAATTTTGGTGCTGTGGAGAACATTTCTCTTTTTTTTCTTGGTACACGGGCCTCTCACTGTTGTGGCCTCTCCCGTTGCGGAGCACAGGCTCCGGACGCGCAGGCTCAGCGGCCATGGCTCTCACGGGCCCAGCCACTCCGCGGCATGTGGGATCCTCCCAGACCGGGGCACGAACCCATGTCCCCTGCATCGGCAGGCGGACTCTCAACCACTGCGCCACTAGGGAAGCCCCATTTCTCTTTTTGGAAACTGTCCTGTCATTCAGGTGTCTTCACTCAAATACCACAGTGATTGCCAATCAATGTGGAAACTATTCTAAGACCAAATGACTCACACTGAGCAGCTCGCTTATCATGGCAGGGGAGGCCCACAGGATGGGAGGTGCAGTACCACAGAGGTAAGAAGATTGGTTATAACACTGGATAATATATAGAAATGTTCCTACAATGTGATCTTTGTCACTTTTGAAGGAATACTTGCTTTTTCTCTCCGCAAGTGACTGCTCATTAAGAACTAGGTACAATATATTTCTGAAAGAAATGCTTCACAAAGCTTTGTAAGAAGGTGTGGTTAACTTAATGCTGTCTTCTTTGTCCTGAAAAACAGGAGTGGGCTTTCACACGTACAGTTTTCAAAGCACTCATCATAAATATGGAGGGAATTTAGCCCAATTTAGTAAAGAAAATCAAATTTAGAACGGAATGAATTCTATACCCTCTCCCTATCCATTCTGCAACACCCATCAAGCCCAATTTCACTGTGAAAAGTGTCATTACAAAGCCTGTGGGGATCTTATCCTCCCGGGTCAGGCTGGGACTCAGTGGTAAACAGGAGGCACAGAGAGGGCAGTGTAAAGGCAGCTTTAACATTTTCAGTGAAAAGAGCCAACTTGTTTGTGGTTTTGATTTGCTTTTAATAACAAGCTCCATCAACCAAAACTGATGAATTGGCATAAGAACAAGGGTACAAAAGGAACATCAAGGGGCCTTCCAAAATGCTAACCAAAGGATGAATTCTCTGCTTTGGGTGGCCATCATTTTATCCCTTGGAACCAGGAGATAAAAAGATGCAAAGCTTTTAATATATGCTTCGCGAGTATATAAAGGAACTGATTAGACCATGTGGCCCGTGGTGGTGTTGTCTTAATACTTTATAATCACATTCCATACTTTAAGCAAATGCAAATTCTGCCACATGCTGCCCTTGAAAGGCCATTTCACTGCATACTGAATTGAAAGTAATCACTGACACAGCGTAAATAAAGCCTCTGTTGGGTAAACACCAAAGCATTTTCCACACAGTGTTGCATTTTAAAATAGCGAAGTTTATTGTCAGTGAAAAGATAGGCACAAAGTGGATTCAAACCTGCTTAACTTTATTGGAACTAGCTCAGTCAATTACAGAATGGGGTCTCAATCATTATGGGGCCACATACATTTTAAACCAAAGGTGATCCCTGTCTAGCCATCTGCCAACCCCAGCTATCCATTTTACAAACACATGCCATCAACCACAAGGGAGGCCAGAAGGAGGTTTGATGGCTCCATCGTTGCTACCGGAAAAAAATAAACAAACTCCCAACACTTGTCCAACTGATGATGGATGGTACTTGGAAGCTATAGTGCCAAGGATCATGGCGGGCTAAAATTGGTGGCAATTAGCCCATAGCTGATGCCTTCCTTTGAAAACATGTTCAGTAAGAATGCACACATTTTAAGTAACACATTCCATATGTGAATGAGCAATTGAGATAACAGGAGATGGTATGGCTAACAGACATGAGAATATCATTTATAAAGGTTAGTGCATATGTATACACTTGAAGCTGCCGCATTATGTTTAGGCTCTTCATAAGAAGTAGTCTGGGGCTTCCCTGGTGGCGCAGTGGTTGACAGTCCGCCCGCGAATGCAGGGGACGCGGGTTCGTGCCCCGGTCCGGGAAGATCCCACATGCCGCAGAGCGGCTGGGCCCGTGAGCCATGGCCCCTGAGCCTGTGCGTCCGGAGCCTGTGCTCCGCAGTAGGAGAGGCCACAACAGTGAGAGGCCCGCGTACCGCAAAAAAAAAAAAAAAAAGTAGTCTGCACAATCAGTTTGTTCCATTTTCCAATTGGTGTCCCCAACCCAACTGTGTGACAAGAAAAAGAATGCACGACGGGGCTCTCGGTGTGTTTCCTATGGCAGATGACGGCAGATATTTCAGGTTCCTGCCATCCTGTCATCCTGAAGCTCAAAAGCAGCATTGAGAATAAATCCTTCATTAAAACAGCAATCAAGATACATGATCTTAAAAGATAGCTCAAGCTACTTTTATTTAATAAAAAAATTGTTAATAGGAATTTTATATCAAGTAAAGTTTGTTCTAATGAAGTTTTTCTGTACATGGGACATTGGTGTACAACTGACTTAGAAGGTCCCCAGAGACCACCAGGCAGTACAAGTTAAGACAACAAGGTCACCCTCCTGTCCTGAGGTGCCAGTAAAATGCATAGATAGATGGGAGTCCAGAAAGATCCCCCAAATGTTATTACATCCACACAATCATGAAAAGGTGGCTAACTTGAGATTTCTCCCATAAACCTGAAGTTTTTAAATGACACCTATTAGAGATTTTCTGAAAAGGCTGGATCTATCTTCCTCGTAAACATAATACACTGACATGGACTTCTTCCACCTCTTAGATGTTCCATATTATTTTAGCAAATTACCTGTGATAAAAAATTGAGCCAAAAGGAAGTGCCTCTGGTGTGAGGGGGCAGAGAAGTTGTGGAAAGTTCAAAATAGTAGTTGGCCAAGAAGTTCCTCCTTTCCCCAAAATATATGAGTCTAAAGAGATGGCTGCCCCACAGTGTGGAATGTGTGACATTTGTCACCTTACAGAATGTGATTAAAACGATGGCTCCCAGAGCTAGCAAAAATTCTGGCAATGTGTCATAACCATGAAAGGAGTAGATGAAAGGTTTCTTTTTATTTATTTTTTATTTATTTGAATAGAAAGTAGCAGTCCTGAAGTTTGCTACTTGTTGCTTCTACTATTTGAAGGATTTTTTTCCCCTGTGACTATAGGGTAGTATGAGTATTAACACAACTGCACTTTTAATTTCTATTTGGGATTCACTTGATGACTGAGGACTCGTGTAGGATGATCACTTCATCTTTGAAAATGTCAAGACTGGCTGAAAAATCACATCACCTTCCCTCCTGTCTCTCCCTCACCACATACAAAATAATTCCTTTTAGGAATGACCAGAAAAACATTGTTAAATATACCATTCCTATACTCGCAGAGGAACCTGTAAGATGATCCAAGATAGCCAATCCCATAGCAAGAAAAGCGAGGTTGATTTCTTAGGGGGATGTTTCATGTGGCTCAGTGTTGAAATAAGGATCAGGAAAGGGAAAGCCTTGCAAAGGGCACTGCAGGAGAGGCAAGATAGGAATTCAAAACCTTGGACAAATTACTCAAGCCAGGGACATTTTCCAAAATGCATGTGCCCTGGACCGTGTCAATGTCTTTTCTTAAAGTGGGGCTTTTTGTATATAAGCGTTTCCCAAATTAAGCATGGTAATCGGCAGAGTGGAAAGCTGTGTTGTGTGATCTTGAAAAAGTCACTTAACCTCTCCAGGTCTCAGATTCCTCATTACTAAAATGAGGGGGTATGGCTATATTGCTAAAGTTCCTTCCAGCCACTATGCCTCACGATGTAATATATCAGGCCTACTCTTCTATGAATTTGGTTTCTAACTAACATATCCCCAAACCTCTACCCTCCCCCACCCTTACCTAATACCCCCACTCCCCTCACCCCCCCCAATACCCCTGAAAACTGATCTTAATGACATTGTCTATGGATTTATCACCTTAATGAAGGGCAGAGAGGCGACACAGGGCAGAGACCTGTGGCAACAGGCAGCCCTTCTGTGTCCCTGGAGGCAGGCCTAAGGCAAAGCTTGGAGCCATGGCCTCCTTGGTCCCTGCCCACATGTGCGTTTCCTGCTGCTCCCCAAAGGTATTCCAAGATGGAGTCACTGGCAGTGAGAAGAGGTAGCTGAGGATACTGCTGCAGCCTCCCTCTCCCCGGACTGCAGCGTAGTACTTTGGGCTTCTGATGCTATTCCCTTGGAGGTGATAGTCATATATGCCTTTTAAGACGTATGCTAAGAATTTGGGAAAACAACACGAGTTATTTCAAAGTAGTCACCAGAAATTCAAAGCATTCAACCTGTCAACGAAAACGCTTCCTCATTTTGCAAATGATTGGCAATTTGAGACTGGTGACACAGCCAGTGAATTTGTGCTGGAGAAGAAATAAACACTAAGCAGGTTGGTCTTGGGAAAGGCAAGCGAGCTACGTTCCTGGCTACACACAGACCACACAAGTCTGCATACAGCACCTCGTGCAACTCTCCATCAAGGCCTCGGATGGTCTAACTCCCTAAGAGAGAAGAAGTTGTACATCACTCAGCTAATTTACTCTCCTAGCATCTGAAAGCAATATATTAATTATCCAAATGCATAAATTACTCCACAGTATATATATGAATGTATGAACCTCCACAAGGGAACCAAAAGAATCCACTTCCAAAGCACCACTGAAATAAAGATAAACACAATCTCCTGGCCCAGGGTAGCTGGGAAATTGGGAGGGAAAATTAGCTCCAGCACCCTTCCACACCCCAATACTCCCTACCTTTTCTCCAGTTTACATAGCTCTTAAAACTATTCCCTTTCGTGTGCCCGAGGCGAGAGCTCTTTCTGGATGCTGCCTAGATGGAAACTATACAAAACAGCACACACCCAAATCCTCTCTGGCTTCGACTTCTGAACTACATGTTACACACTGTCTTCCAAACATACTGTGCTCTTCGATTAAAGAATGATCCAGAATATGGAAATGCTAAACAAATTTCAGCACATTGAAAACACTGATGTATATCCAGCTATTAACAGTCCCAGAATTTGTAGAAATCCAAACAATAAACTTTAGAGCACATTCTGATTGATCTGGCTTTAGAGGTACTCTCTAAGCGTACCAGAACAGACTGGAGTTCATATGGTATTACCTAAGTACTATGTTGTTACAATAAAAAGTCCCTTTAAAAAACATCCCCCCACCCAACCCTTGTCCTCACCCTCAAAATAAGAACAAACAAAAGGGAAAAATGATTAAAAGCATTCTTGCTGATAAACTGCAGCTCTTGATTAGGCCATTTAGATGAGATATTCCACCATCTCCGCATCAGGCTCTTGTCCCAGGATCTGAATGGGAGCTTTTCTTTCCAGAGTATTGGAGTGGAAAACAGGGCCATCTAAATGGAAATAAGGGGTTAGAAAACACTTAGGGACAAGGTGAAAACTCAAATTTTAGAAGTGGCTTTAGAGCCCCCATTAAGCCTAAGGCAAAGTGACATTGGCCCACTACACTCCCCCTGTTGTTCACCTGAGCATTTACTTTTACTGGGAAAATGACCTTGACTCATCCCCGTTCTATCCTGGAGAAGTCATTTACAGACTCTCTGCCCCTATCTCCTCTGATTAATCGGCTTTAATTAATTAATTAATCTGTCACTGAGGGCAGAACCCAGGGCTACCTGATCCAGAGAATTACTACCTGTCTTATCTGGATTGCAGCTCAAACTTGGTATAGACAAACGACGTGGTCCAGAACCGGCAGCTGGACTTGCAGGAGCCTCAGCCTGAGCCAAAGCTGGAGCTGGAGCTGGAGCTGGAGGAGCAGCTGCAGCCGGAGCTGGAGTTGGTGCCTGAGTCTGAGCTGGAGCAGAAGCCTGAGCCGCTGCTGAAGCCGGAACTGGAGTTGGAGCCGGAGCTGGAACCGGAGCCGGAGCAGCTGGAGCAAGCTGAACAGCAGCAGCAGCAGCAGGAGCAACAACAGCAGCAGCAACAGCAGAGGCAGCAGCTGGAATCTGAGCAGCAGCAGCAGCTGGAGAAACAGCAGCAGCGAGAGCAGCAGCAGCAGTTGCTGGAGACGGGGCGGCGGCGGTGGCGGCGGCTGGAGCGGCAGCAGCGACAGCCACTGGAGCAGCAGCTACCATGGTGGTGGTGTTGGTGGCAGCGGTGGCAGTGATGGCGGCAGCAGTGGCGGCAGCAGCAACTGGAGCAGGAACAGAGATGGGAGCGACAGCTGCGGTTTTGTTGGGTTCCGTTCCCCGTTCTGTTTGCGTGCTGCAGTCCCGGCTGCCTGTCTTGGAGTGAGCTGACAGTAGGGGAGTCGAGGGCGGCACAGGCGAGGGGGTGGAAGGGACAGACTCGGCACGGTAGTCTCCACCCAGGAGGATACCTACAAAGGAAAGAGGGAAAGAGCTTAGAAAACTACAGGCTATTCCAATATAGACATCTGATTACCTCTTCTTCCTTGCAGGAGGTTCAGGAGGAATAGGAATGGTCCCAAATTCTCTACTTTTGCCTCCAGTGAACCCAGGAATCAGTTTGTCAGGCACCTCTCACCGTGGCTAAAAGCTTCTTTCAGACTTGGCAGATCCCTTCTGGTTCTCATTCTTTAATCCCCCAGCGAAACGTATTAAACCTTTAAGTGTCCTGGGTATCTGTTCTGATTTATTTTTCCAATGGTGATTGATTTCCAACGAGCTGTCAGAATGCTTCTACTTGGTTCCACTTATAACCGACACCAGCCATTACCAAACAGCTGGAAAGGATCAGGGAAAGAAGTCTGTGGTCACAGAGGAGTGTGATAGTAATTGTGTGATCTAAGGTTCTAACCATGACCATGGTCCCCCCAAATACCTACTCTAAGCAAGGGACACTGCAAGTGTCAGAGGACCAAGAAAGGTATTAGAAGCAACAAAGAGAGCTAAAATTAAAATATACATAGCTTGTTTCCTCAGGCTCCAAAAATGTGCCTCGTGGTATCCACAGTACTTCTGGGGTTTTGATTAGAGGGGAAGGAATGGACAGGAATGGAATGAAAAAGTACATTCTGTTCTCATCTCAGAATATTCTGGTAACAAAAACCTGCCACCCAGCTCCATTTAGCTTAACTAGAACTCTGCGTCCTCCTATTATATGGGAGGAAAGAACACAGAAAAAGCTGGAATTTTGAAATTTTCAGTGACACGAAAGCCACATGGGCTTTGGACAAAGACAAAAGGTTCCGCATGGCCAAGGCCAAAGCTGAGAAGTTTTAAGAGGAAATTGAAGTTATCTTCTTTCCCACCCAAACAGAACTCAGGATTCTTATCGTCTAGGGCTGTGGCTTCAACCAGTGTTCTCTCAGTGAGACTTCATGGTGTCTCCTAAATATGCAGTCAGCCTCTCAGGAGGACAAAACCCAACCAGGTGTATCTTCCTCTCTAGAAGTGGGACTATTACTCCTTCTCATTGCCACGTGGGCACATATCCAAGTCAGGGCTCTCTTTAAGCGTGTCACTTTAATCTTCCTTATTTACTGTCATTACCTAGGCTCCCCTTCCAGCTCTTGTCATCCCGCTTCTCTTCCATGATGGGGGTGCCAGTCAGGGTGGAAGAATGGGAGAGCAAGCCTGATCCAGCATTGGAAATGGACATCAGAGACTTTGCTGGCCGCATGGATGACAGCTGCTCTGTCTTACTTGGCTCCTTCCGGGAACGCTGCTGGAGTACCTTGATCATGGCATCCTTCTCAATAATCTGGGCATGGAGGGTCTTAATCCTAGGAGCCAAAGACAAAGAACATATAAAACATTGCTCTGGTCTCACTTCCTGCATGGGCTTGGGCGTCCGTTATATTTTTGACTCGGGGGTGGTCTACTTATTTCTGAGTTGTAAGACAAGAGACAGTGTGCAACAATTTTTAATGCACACCCATATGGGCACAGAGGAACATCCAGGAGTTGTCAGTTAAACCTTAGGAAGCCAAAGAAAAGTATCTGTGAAAAGAAGGGCTGTATATGAGAGAGTAAACTGATGTAGTGGGTACCTTAGTGAAGAATCTGAGTCAATGGAAATGATGAGTCAGTCAGTGAGAAGATGAGAACTTCTAAGAATGGGCTACTTCGGCTAATAAGTAAATGATCACACGCTTGTAAGAGACATCAGATGCCCTATCTCCGAGTTTGAGTGGATGTTCTTTTTTTTTTTTTTTTTTTTTTTTGTGGTACACGGGCCCCTCACCCCTCACCGCTGTGGCCTCTCCCGCTGCGGAGCACAGGCTCCGGACGCACAGGCTCAGCGGCCATGGCTCACGGGCCCAGCCGCTCCGCGGCATGTGGGATCTTCCCGGACCCGGGGCACGAACCCGTGTCCCCTGCATCGGCAGGCAGACTCCCATCCACTGCGCCACCAGGGAAGCCCTGAGTGGATGTTCTTTTACCGAGCACTCTGCTGTACCACAGAGTTGAGGTGCAATGCTAGAAAGAATACCTCAGAGTGCAAATACCAACAATTCAGTTCTGGCAGAGGGCATATGGAAGCAATTTACCAAGGACAATGGGAAAAGCAGTGTTACTTGGAATTCCAGAGTTAGTGGGAATGATCAAGGTAAAGGTCATTGCATCTCAAATCCTAAATAACAGGCTGGCAGGGGTGCAGGGGTAGGGGGAGGCTGCATTATCAGGTTCCCCTGTTGTGAATGAAGATGCTTGCCCTTCCCTACTGACCTATCTGGTCTCCATATCAACTTCTCAGATCCACCAGAGTCCAGATCAACATTTTACCTGCCCTCCATGTCAAGGCAACGCTTGTTGGCCATCAAGATTTCTTCCTCCTCCTTCTGGATGCGAGCTTCTAGAGCTGTGTCATAGCTGGTGTTAGGAGAGTGGCTGATGACTGTTGTGTCCCTGGGAAGGAAAATGGCAGTGATAATGACGGGAGGGCAACAAAATCTCTGTCCTAAGTCAAAAGCCTTAGGCTGGAAGGCCCTACACTGAAATCAAACTTATTAGGAAAGGTCGGTTTCTGGGTGACTTACTGATATGAGTCTCCAAGATGGGAAGGTTCAGCTTTCAGAGCTAGAAGAGGTTATTGACAGACATAAGTGCAAAAGTCAGTGATGAATTCTATGAGAAGTGCACAGGCTTGCCTTCAGAACTAGAGAGACACCCTCCCAAAACCTCTGGCAGAAAGTCCCTCCAAGTTTGTAGATCATGACCAGGCAATAGGAAGATATTCATATTTCCACTTTATATGATTATTTATATTACATATGAGATATGCCCACTTTATTCTCATGACAGTCATGAAAGGGAAAAGGCTAGACTTTGAAGGAAGTCAGAGAAAGTACCAAAGAGCTATTGCTACATTCAACAGCAGTAACTCCACCTGAGTGTTTGCTAGAAATGAACTCTAGACATGTCAATAGCCAAGTTCAGGTAGGGCATGGGAGCTGAGTGAGAAGCAGGGCCTTTGAGTCCGTGCCCCTTGATTCCTATCTAAGCTATATCTGAAACATTCAAGTGCCAAATCAATGAGTCTCCCCCAACTAAGTGACTAATCTCTTGCCAGAGTCCCAACTGCATGAGGGACCATCATGTTCCATCTGAAAGTGTCTCAGGCCATTAACTCAAGGGGTAATTAATAAGAAGAGTGTGTGTGTGTGTGTGTGTGTGTGTGTGTGTGTGTGTGTGTGTGTGTGAGAGAGAGAGAGAGAGAGAGAGAGAAGAGAAGTGAGGAAAGGAGAGAGGAGAGGAGGGGAAAGGATGTAACCCATGGGCAAGGCTGATGTTTAAACAGCACAAGTCAAAGACATAATGGGAATCCTATACCCTCCTGATAAGTGACGTCATGCATCTTTCTTTCGTTCATTTAGAACTAGTGGTAGAGAAAAGACGGAAGGGAAGAAAGAAAACTGGATCGCATTTGAGTAACTTGGAGGGAAAGAAAACGAGTTTAGGAAGAATGTTGATGTAATTATATTGGTCTTAAAGAAAACCAGACTATAGGCTGAGGAAACAATGAACTGGCACTGCTGCATTATACTTCCTCTGAGAATGAGGATCTGTGGGAGAACTCCAGGCATCTCTTCTGCTGGCAGCTGGTTATGTCCTGTTAGCATAGAGATTGTGACCAGAAGATTGGTATTAAAGTTGGGGAATTTTGGTGAGCTTCTGCAAAACTACTGTTCCCCAAAATGCTTGCACCTCATATGCAAGGCGGAAACAATTCATTTGAATGGTGAAATAATTGGAGAACAAGAAGGGAAAGGACCACAGTGGCTTTCATCATTTGCTAAATTCAAAATATTTTAGTATCTCGGAATTCTACACTTGCTCTGGTACAGTTCACTGGCTTGTAGTCCTACTGGGAATGGCCCCTGTGTTCCAAAGTACCCAAGAGGAAGCAGCATTGTGTGGTGTTGAGAGCACAGGCCCTGACTATAGGCCATGCCAGGGTCAAGTTCCACTTTCCCTAGTCCTCTGCCACTAACAAACTCTATGCGCTCAGGAATTGGGTTAACCGCTCTAAGCCTCAGGCTCCTTGTTTGCAAAATTGAGATAATAATTATACTTATATCTCATGGGATTTTGGGGGGGGGATGAAATGAAAGTGTGCGTGTAAAACATGCAGTGCCAGGCACAGTAAAAACACTCAACAAGTTATTATTAAGAGAGAAAAGTGTAGGTAGAAAGAGAATAACATACAAGAGAGTATGAGTTGAATGAATTCCAGCTCTTGGTATGATCCTGGAGGCGATCCCCGCAGTGCAGAGTTCCAATGTGATGGCAGAGGCTTCAGAGGCAGGCCTCTTTTAAAAGTGCATAGTGTCTATGGACACTGGGGACTTGAGCGTACGGTTTGTCCCTGGGGGAGCCACTTTCATTGCATAAAAGACCATTCTGGGGACACAGAGCCCTGCCAGCTAATTGATATGGACACTGTGAACTCCTCAGGAATGGAGCCTGAAAATGTGGGGCACTTAGTGAATTCCTACAGAGCTGCCAGGATGGCCTTCGACATCAATCTTCCTTCTAGAAGACTGGGGCTACTGAGCAATGGCTTAAACAAAAGCAAGCAGGCACAGCATTCGAGGGAGCAACTTGGCCTGCTAACTTCCAGTACTCTGAGCCTACCCTTAAGCACATCAGTAGAGAGATGCTGGGCTTGAAATGACAACCTACAGACCCCAAACCACATTATCCCTGAATTACTATCCTGCACCTCAAATTCTTAAGTAAATGGTTTCTGGCAACTATTCCTCCAGTCATCTTCTCTCTCCTTCCTCTGATGAAGTTATCCCCGTCACATTACTTACACTGCTTTCTAGAATGTCACCCATGACCTCCTAATTAAAACATCTAGCGGCCTTTTAAACTTCAAGTCCATCTTTTTCCTATCGGTAGCACCCTTTTGTTTATTTAAAATGGGAACTCAACCATGAGTGGAGCAGTGTGTTTGAAGTTCCTGGGAGGCTGGAGAGTGGATGGACATGGATAAGACTAGTCCCCGACTGTAGGGAACTTGCAAGGGGAGGGGAAAAAAGTAAATAATTAACTATTACAGAAATGAGTTTGGACTTTATTCCAATAGGCAGTGAAGCTTATTAGAGCTTTTCAAAGGGAATGAAATGATCCAAGCTGTGGTTCAGGAAGACAGCATTATCTCTGCTGAAATGTAATGGAGGGATTAGAGGAGCCATAATACTGGAATCGGGCAGACCAGTCAGAAAGGTTATAATCCCAGCAAGAGATATTGAAAACAGGACCCGGCGAAGTGGCAAGGGAAATGGAAACAGGCTACAGGAAGCAGAATTGCTAGAACTTGGAGACTATTTAAATGTGGGTGTTAGGGAGAGGGAAGAATGAATGAGGACTTTGTTGTTTCTAATTCAAATGACTAGAAAAGATGGCATACTGCTCGTTTTCTGTGATAGGAAACCAAGGAGAACTTTCTTTCTTTTTGGAAAATGCCTATAGTGGTTTTTTTTTTTTTTTTTTTTTTTTTTTGCGGTACGCGGGCCTCTCACTGTTGTGGCCTCTCCCACTGTGGAGCACAGGCTCCGGACACGCAGGCTCAGCAGAAATGGCTCACGGGCCCAGCCGCTCTATGGCCTGTGGGATCTTCCTGGACCGGGCCACGAACCTGTGTCCCCTGCATCGGCAGGCGGACTCTCAACCACTGCGCCACCAGGGAAGCCCTATAATGGGTTTTGATTTTAGTTACAGTGGACTTAAAGTGTCTTATGGATAGCCATATGACAATATCCATCCAACAAGTTGTTGAAAATTCTAACTTTAATCTTAGAGATGTCAGAGTTACTATTTGAAGCTATAGTAGAGAACAAGATAACTAAGACAGAAGGTAGAATGAGAAGAAAGCAGAGAACGGAACCTGAGAAAGGCCTCCACAACGCAAGACTAGGTAGACATGCGTCACGTGTGTGACCAGTTTCTACCTTCTGCTTTCCCTTTCTTTACTTCCTTCTTTCCCAGATTTACTTTGTCCCAAATAAAAGTGAAACATTGCACATTCAGAGAAAGGTAACAACCTGATTCAGTAAATGCAAAGAAATAAATTACTGGTTGATCGGGTGTGTTATCTTTTTGCTGCTATTCAGAAATAAATCACCATTTGTGAGCTGAAACTAAAAATCTGCACTGCCAAATCAGTTCTTCTGAGATGAACTCCTACTTGGTAGTAATTTCCCTCATCTACATTAAGCATCTGGAGAGGAATACTCTAGGAACACAATAATATGAAGTTATAATATAGGCCATGTTTTTGTGATTATTTATAATAGTCTAAGAAACTAAATAATAAGCCTCAAATAGTAACTCTTGAACAGGTAATACTCCCTATTTCACCATCTTTGAAATCATCCTATCTGGGAGGCAGCAGAGTATATATAGCACTCAAGGTGTCAAAAATGTAGATTTAAGTCCTGGTTCTTCTGCCTCTTAGTAGCTGTGTGATCTTAGGGGAATTCTTTAATTTGTCTGTGCCTCAGTTTCCTCATCTGTAGAATGGATACCAGTACTTCTCTCAAAGAATTATTGTGAAGATAAGCAATAACTGTAAAGCGCTTAGAAGCGTACCTTATATAGTAAACACTACATGTGATTTCTTGAATTGACAGCTTTCCCTTTGACAAGAGATGCTTCACAGAATCAAAATGCCGGAATGGGTATAAAACAGATAACCCAATATGTCTTCTCACCTGAGAAAAGACAGATGTCTATTCCTACATTAAAAATCTATATTTTATTATTCACAGTGGCCAAACACTGGAAACAATCCAAATATCCATCATCAAGTAAATGCATAAACTGTGGTACATCCATGCTATGGAGCACTACTCAGCAATAAAAAGGAATAAACTATTGATATACGCATTAACTTAGAGCAAGCTCAAAGTAATCATGCTGAGTGAAAGAAATCAAACAGAAAAAGTACATATTATATGGCTCTTTTTATATGACGTTCTAGAAAAGGCAAAATTACAATGACAACAGATGTTGTCTGGGGTCAGGCATGGGAGGAGGGGATCAAGTTAAAGGGGCATAAGGGCACTTTAGAATGTGTCCTCTATCTTGATGGTAGTGGTGGCTACATTATTATATACAATTACCAACATTCACCAGACCAGACACTTAAAATAAGTGGTTTTTAAATATGTGAATAATACTTCAATTGAAAAAATTCTACAACTACCATTGTATGACCCCAGCAACATTTCCTAATTGCACAACTTATTACTTATGTATGAGCTATTATTTTACAAATATATTAAGTTTGAGATACTTAATATCTCAGGATAATAAGCAGAATACACAGAAACTGAGCAGGCTGGTACAACGTGGCGCTAGATTTAAGGATTTAAGTTGTATAGAGTTAGAAAGCATTTCCTTTCTTCTTTTACTTCTTCCTTTTGCCCTCTTTCTTTTTTCTCCTTTTTTTCCTTCCTTCATTACTCAAACATATGTTGAGCACTTTCCATCTGCAGCCAATATCCTAGGCACTTAAAAATTATTTTGGAAGAAAATAGAATATAAAGCCTTTACTACAGAAAGGGGTGAAGAACAGAACCTTGGTCAGTACATTTAGGGTTGGGAGGAGGGAAAGTGAAATCACTGGACAGAAAAGAAATGGCAAGAAGAGATGTTGGAAGGGAAGGCAGAAGAGCCCACAGGTTCTGAAACAAAGTTTTCTGAATGTTACTTTCCAAATTTGAAATCTCATAAAGAAAGAAAGAAAGGAGGAGAAGGAAACTAATCTCCGTGGCAGAGCATAAGGAGCAAATCTTCGGAAAAATAGTATAATCTTAGCAATAGAAGGGTCTGGAACAATCACCTAGTCCAATTCTCTCATTTTACAGGAATTCAAATACAATCTCTCAGTCTCTTCTGTGGGTTGTATTAATAGGCATGCAAAAGGTACACAGTCCAGATATGGAATGTTTGTCCGGGAAACTATTACAAAGTGTTCCTATTAGGTGGGAACTGGCTGCTTTTTACCATATTAAATGATAAGCATTTACTGAAAACAGTGATTGCATGGAAACTTTCTACCTGGTGATTTAAAGGAATTCAATTTAAATTAAATCTATTTTATGGGAGCCAACAGATTCTGGAAAGAAATCCATCTGAAAGGGGATTCTCCCAATATTCAAAACTTTCCAGGGAGGAAGGAAAGGGGTAGTTTCTTTATACAAGGCCCCCAAATGACAACCTCCTAGCTTTCCTGCATTTTGACTTGGAGTCTATGCTGAAGTCAGTTTCAACAGTGAACTTCCCAGCACCAAGAACCCTGGCTTTCCAACATTTTCTTACACCGCACACTTTCATGAGCTGTATCTTTCTAAGTTTCTGCTCAAAGATGACAAAAATGCCCTGCACCTCTTTGTCAGTGTTAGGGTTTCCTGAATAACCTCTGAACAAGCACTGGGCACAGGTGTTTTCTTGGGAACCAACAGCTAAAATTACACTTCATTCTGATTCTAAGCTGCCTACAAACTTATCAACCATCTTCCAGCCCAGCTGGGGCTTCTCTGCACTCTCTTACTACACTGGCATGGACTGAGCACACCGTTCTCAGAAAAGAAAAAAAAAAAAAGACAGGTAAGCTTAAGCCCATGAGGACCTCAAAATCAAGGCACAGGCAATTTCAATCTGTTTAAGGTTTATAGGGGGTATCTGGAGACAGACAGAGCATGTTAGAGAAACGTAAGGTGTCTTCCTGAAGAATTGGGAATAGGTTTACAAACCACCAGTCCAGCTTTTAAGCATTGACCTTCCTCTGATTTGGGATGAGAAGGACTCGAAAATAAGTGTATCCACTGCCCCCTCCACACACATATTCCAACCCAAAGTCTGGCAAGTGCTACCAGACTCTGCCAGCTCACCATATTTAGGAGAATGCTAAAAACAACGCCATGGTTTTTTAGTAACTTTCTGGATCGAGACCTATCTGGGTGCAATATGCTATAGCCTGCCTTAGATACCCAACTCCAGACCATGGCCCTGTCTGTATCCCCAACAATCCACATCATCTCCTGATTTGAATTTAGTTTTTGTTTCTTTCCCAACTGATGATTACAAACAGCAGCGAGACAAACTGGATAAGAGCACTGTGTCCTCCAAAGAGCAATAATGAATGTTTATAATGAGAAAAGGGGAACACATAAAGGGCAAAAAATGAAAACGCCTCCTGCCACTTTCTCTCCCTTACCAAATGGAATGTGACTGCTTACATGTGATGAACTTGGAGGCACAGAGAATGTGGGCTTCAAATATAGACCTTCTCAAAGGGCAGGGATGGATTCATGTTCAGCACAGTCTTTGGCATACCTTGGACAAGCCAGAGCTATCAAATGGCAGTAGCCACTCCTGAGTGACATTTAGTTTCTGAGTGGCATTTCTCTGGAGAAGCTTTCATTCCAGTCCTGGGGCTAAACAAAGAAACCTACACATGTGGCTGAAAGAACCTGAGGCTTTGCGGAAGGAGGTGTGCGGACGTTCAGTTGATCCCATCTGCAAATGTTCTGCCTCCTGAAGAAAGCTGAACTATGATTCCAGTAAGTTCGTCAGTAACTTTAATTTACAAATCCTGGACCCTCTGCCCCACAGTTGTTCAGTCTCTGCATAACCAGATTGAAAAAAACAAAAACCACACACTTAAGCAGAAACTGAGAAAAAAGAAACAGAACATTATGGGCAAAAAAACACTGGAAAGTCTATTTATCAGTCACTTTTCTGTTCTCCACACCACCCCTGCCCTTCATTCAGGGACTCTACCAGCCAGCTACTTACCTCTGAGCAGCTACGGTGGCCGCAGCGTCCAGAGCAAAATGTCTCATCACATTCTCCTCTAAATACTTCTGCTCCCACTTAGTCATGTCAGCTTCCAGGGCCAGGATCCTCTCCTCCTTCTCACGAAGGAGCTCCATCAGTGCAGCGGCATTGTATTCTGAAACATTGGTGGGCTGAGAGTTGCCCTGGCGCTGTTGGAGGAGATGCCGAGACCCCAGATGTTAATGAGTTAGGACCACAGTGGCTGAGTCCCATTTGAAGAGCCCTTATTTTTGGAAAGGATTACTGCCCAAGCCACTTCAGTTTGGATTCCGATTCAGAAGCAAGGGGAATTCATAGGACTTTCTACCTCGGGCTTGAGTATGAGACTCTCGATCACGAAAGGAGCCTGCCATGTCAAATGGTCGTGCTGCTCAGAAAGTGGATCAATGGTTTAAAAATCACTAGCCCTGCCGGCCAGCATGGTTCTCCATAGAAACGGAAATTAAAAATCTAGGATTTGGTCTCTGCCTTGCCCCTAAACTTGTTGTGTGACCTTAAGGGAGTCATGCCACCTTTCCTGGGTCTTGATTTTCTCTCATCTAAAAATGAGGTGATGTATGGCCAAATGATTCTAAAGACCATTTCCAATCCTAAAACGTCCAGGAGTCTATCTGTATAGTGTCTTCACTTCTTATAGGGCCTACTGTTTCTGGGGTTCATATGAAAACAAAAAGTGCAAGATAATAGGCATTAAGGATTTTGCTGTGATAGGAAGCTAAGGAAGCCAACTTCATCTTTACAATTGGGAGGCGCTCTGGAGTAAGATCAGTTGGGGCAAAAAACCTGAAGATGAGTAAGAGTGTGTTTTTGGATTCTCATGTCAGACATTATCTGACAAATAAGCAATCAGGAGCAATCTCATTTTCCTGAAGTTCTCTATACCTGCTGGATTCGGAGGGATTCCAGTTCTCTCTCCAGTCGTGTCCGGAGACGGTGCTCCAGCTGCTCTCGTTTTTCACACGCTGCCTGGAGCTGTACAAGAGCTTGCTGCATCTTTTCCACCTTATCTACGTACACTTGCTTCTTTTTCAGCTGAAAATCCAGGTTGGGAGAATTACAAGATAGAAGGAAAGAGAACAACAGGGTCAGTTATACAGCCCCCAAATCCAGCCTTGTGTTTAGATCTCTTCCTGTCCAGCTCCAGAAAAGCATGAATGGCAAGAAGGTCCTTCATGAGTATCGGGCTGCCTTGTATTTACCATACAGATAATGTCTCAAGGGATAGGAATTAGGAGCTCCTTTTTCATCTCTCCCTCCTTCCCCATCTCTATGTTTTCCCCAAGTCTATTTCTATCAGTAGAGTCTGTCTTAGATGGCAAGCTCTTAAGATTCCCATTTATGGATGTCCTCACCTCTGCTCTTCTTCACTCTATAAACTGTAATATTCTGGGAGAGGGTATATCTTACTTTGGTCATTATAGTAGGGGAATGCTAAAAAAAATAAAAGGGGGGCTCTCCAGGGAGAACAGTTTAATTCGGAATGGAAAGGAAGCCTACCCACTTTATATAGCTGTCTCCTCTCCAAGTGAGAGAAAAAGGGTGGTCAACTGCTGCACGCAGAGGGAGGCCAGAATTGTCTTTCTGAACTCTACAGTCCTGGTAATTACTCAATGTAATCATCACTGCTCTCCTGGAATGTTTCTGCTCCTCAAAAGTGAAGCTGCTGGGACTTCCCTGGTGGTCCAGTGGTTAAGACTCTGCGCTCCCAATGCGGGGGACACGGGTTCGATACCCGGTCAGGGAACTAGATCCCTCACGCCGCAACTAATGATCCCGCGTGCCGCAATGAAGATCCCGCATGCTGCAACTAAGACGCGGTGTAGCCAAAAAAAAAAAAAAAAAAAAAAACAGTGAAGCTGCCATGCAACGGTTCATCTTTAGTTTCTTTATTGACCAGCACTGCCCCCACCCCCAGTTCTTATTAAAAGAACACAGGTCACTTGTGATTTCTGCCTCACTCATGAGCCTGAGTTGATAACATTGGACTGTAATCTCTCAACTATCACTCTGGGACCTTTAAAGATATCTAAAGATGCAAAGTAATGAATCAAATCTAAGACTAAATGAGATCAATTATGATTCTTCCTCTTTGCAAGCTTATGAACCATAACCAAAAACAAAGGTAGAAGCAGGTTGGGACTAAGAGTTTGAGTTCTTTGTACCCTTGTAACTTCCAAGGCAAATCCCATCATGGTAAATCCCCGACTCCGTTGAAATGAAGGAATGAAGAGAATTTCAGAGCTTTTTAAAGAAGGCATACATACCCTCAACACCTAAGAAGATAGGGGAAAGTGCAGCCTTCCCAAATTGTTAGGAATGAGCAGATGGTGCTTCTTCATACCTATAATACTTGTGCGGGTGCCTCTCTTGCTAATAAAATCAACGCATGGACTCTTTCTAAAGTAGAAATTCTTCCAAGCTGGTCACATCTGTTATTATTATTTTCGTGAAACCTACGGTTAGGGATACTCTCATTATTAAGATTTAAATGTGAAAATATAATTGATAACATGGTCCAAAGGAAATTCAAGAATTCAGCTCAACTCTAACTTTCCAACAAATTCTCAAGCCCTTGAGATACCTAGATAGACAGTTGCAATGTAAGAGGTTACCCACTTTACCAGCACTGCCCACATCCATTTAGCTGGGGCCAGACCAGCAGAACCAACCTGACACCCTCATTGCAGAAACCAGGTAAGACCTTCGTGGTAATGGGTCCAAATCACTGCTCTCTAGAATGTCCACTCAGACAGCAATAGCATGTGCTAATGGGGAAACTCTCCTTGTCTTATAACTGCTCTCTCTCCAAATTAGAATTGCTGAACTTTCTCTAGGTGGAAGAAAACTTATATTTTCCTACCAGACTTGCATTATGCCTTGCCTAGGTGACTGGGAAAACTTTAAAAATTCGTGCTACACTTCTTGACATTTCCTTTCATTCCAAGGCCTAGTTCAATCTAGCCTTGTAAACCAGTTGAGGTGAGTTATAAGTCTAAATGTTTTTATCCATTAGACCTTTCCCTAGTTAATAAAAGAAACAAAAATTGCCATTCTCATCCTCTCAATAAGCTTAAACCTTTCTTTCCTGGGAAATGCGACTATTTGTAATAACACTGACTAGGTCAATCAAGACCTTTAGGCCATGGATGCCTCTGCCTTCCTATTTGCTAAGCTTTGAATAATTGGAGAGCAGGAAATATCCTCTATCCTTTGCCTTTTGGGTTCTATAATCCTGATGAGCTATTTAAAGTTGAATGCACTTATTTGTGAATCGCTCTGAAAACCCTAGGGGAGCAGTGCAATGTTAATGCAGACAGTGTTAACTATAATTACTGAGGCTTACAGGAGTTATACTTAAAGGCAATTAAAGTTAGATAGTATGCAGTTCTTGCCTTGATGGTAAAGTACTGCAACATAAGCTCAGAGAACTGAAAAATAAGCAGTCAGGACTAGGTGTATTTCTCTATGCCCTGCCTTTCTTGAGAAAGGAATCCTCAATGTCTTAGCTAAGGAATCCCCAGCAGTGGAAGTCACTGAGCCAACTGTCTGGAAGGGAAAAGCAATAAAGGCCCAGAGAGTTTTCTGAGTTGGCTGAAGATAGTCACACAAGTCAGACAACTTCCACAAACCAGGCCAAGGAAAATCCCATCATGCTTTGCCACTGGGATGATTTTCCACAAGGTACCAGGACCTCTATTGTTGGCATAATTCTTCTACTTCCTTTTTTTTCACATATCTTTTTTTTTTATTGTGCAAAGTGCCAATCTATTATGTCAGCAGATCCAAATAACAATCTAGTAGTATGGAAAATCAAGGACATTTGCAGATATTAAAACCAAGAGTCACGGACATTAAAGTCCCCAAAATAACTATTTTAATAAGAGAGAAAATTTTACAACATAATATCCAAATCCCCAGGAATTTTTCCAGATAATTTAAAAATTCACCAAACACTTTGCCTATCATAGTTTTCTCTGAGGGAAACTTTTACATCTTCCCTAACAAATCTCTTAACTTTATGTCCAATTATGAATCACAATACCCATATACAGGACCAAGAAAAAGTGCAGCTCAGCCATAAACACCAAGATCGCCTAGTAAATGCTTAATACCTAGGTAATTTAGGGTACAAAAGGACAACTGTTGGAAGCTACCAGTGCGAGACCCTATAAAGATGCAATCCACAAAGTAGGCTATCTTCTAAGTTACATATTCTATGTTTTCTAGATCTCGTCTATACATAGAAAGGAACAAAGGTCTATGCGGCTTATTAACACCTGTACTATCCTGAACTTTATATGCTTCACTTTTTCCTTCATTATGGTAAATCCCCTTTTCTGCCTCTCTTCTATAAACTTATCTCCTGTGCTAAGTTCCTCAAATGTTAGCTCAGTAATTAAGACATCCTAGATCCCCAACTTCACCTTTCAATGCCATCGGAAATGTCAATGGTTCCTTCTAGGTAAAGAGAGAGGCCATACAGTAAAATTGTTAAGGTCATGAGCTCTGGCCTCAGGCTACCCCAGTCCAAATGTTGGCTCCCCACTTACTAGGTATGCAACCTGAGGAAAGCTACTTAATCTCCCTGAACTTCCCTTTACTCATTCATACATAACATAGAGATGATGATAATTTGATATACCTCTAAAAGGAGCAAATGATATAACAAATGAAGTGCTTAGTAGAGTGTCCGGCACAAAAAGTGCACAGAGTTTTCTTTTTTAAAGAAAAAGTTAATCCCAAGTCACACATACTCTAGTCCTCTCAACACTGAACATTCATTCCAGATAGCCTTGACATGGTTCTCATTATCTCAATAACTCTAATTAACACATCAATTAAGACATTAAAAACACAGCTATTTTTCCCCAGGAAGACATATAACACTAGGCCTCAAACCCTTCATGCAACAGAGCTTCAGATATCTTTTTTTTGTTTTTGTTTTTGTTTTTGTTTTTTTTTGCGGTACACGGGCCTCTCACTGTTGTGGCCTCTCCCGTTGCGGAGCACAGGCTCCGGATGTTCAGGCTCAGCGGCCATGGCTCACGGGCCCAGCTGCTCCGCGGCATATGGGATCTTCCCGGACTGGGGCACGAACCTGTGTCCCCTGCATCGGCAGGCGGACTCTCAACCACTGCGCCACCAGGGAAGCCCCGAGCTTCAGATATCTTTATAGGGCAAGGCCTTTCATTGGAGATACAATTAGAAGAGAGTACTGAGTAGCTGCAAGGACACCATATTCTCTCAAAATGACACGATTTAGAGGGCACCTCCACTTTGTGAGAGATACTTTACCTATAGTCAAAGGTACTGTTTAACTAAAGACACTTAGGCAGAGCTCATTCCCTGCCACACACGCATGCGTGCGCGCGCACACACACACACACACACACACCAGGAATTTCTATTTGACAGCAAATTGAAAGGTAAAGGAACAAGGTGGCAATCAGGAGACTTGGGTTCTTGTCTTAGCTCTGTTTTTAATAGTAATTTGCTTCCCTGTTCTCAGCCTCAGAGTCCCCATTTGTTAAAAAAAAATGATGGGGGTTTTGGGGGGTCAGCAAACCAAAATGGTCAGCAGTGGGCCAAATCCAGCCATGCCCATTCATTTACCTATTGGTTAGGGCTGCCTCCCTGCCATAATGGCAGAGTTGAGCAGTTGCAGTTGCAAAAGAAACTCTACGGTCCACAAAACTGAAAATATGTACTATCTGGTCCTTTATAAATAAGGTGCCAGCCCTTGGAGTGATTTTCAAACTGTGTTCCACAGTCCTAGTGTTCTAAGGAGTGCTTCAGAAGCCACTACAATGGGTGAGTTGTATCAAGTGGCTCCACTTTTATGTGTTTTACAATGAGGGTTCTACATAAAAATTTCAAAAAAAAGGCTGTTACATCTTTGAAGATACATATGAATATCCAGTTGACCCTTGAACAGCATGGGGGTTAGGGGTGCTGGCCCTCCCTGCAGTCGAAAATCCATGTATAACTTTATAGTCAGCCCTCCATATATGCGGTTCCTCCATATCCACAGT